AAAAAAAAAAAAATCAGAGCAAAGCACTTCCATTTATTCAGTAATTTCATTAAATTTGACCTTGGAAACAACAGCATGGAACTGTATGGTTCTTTAACACTGTCCATGCATACCCACTCTTGAGAAATTTTCACCTTTTCATCATTTTCCCTCTTAAACTCCTTTTATGTGCTGCATGCCTTCACTACTGTCAATGGCAACTCATTCTTAAACTTGTGTCCATTTATTGTGTTATCTTTAGTTAAATTAGTAAAAAATTTAAAACCTATTAATTATAACGTAATCAAAAAAGTTATTAATCCAGAAATTAGATGCCTAACTAAATCTATAACAGTTAAGGCTATAACAATACAGTATACACACAGATATGTTTTTTTGCCCCTGTATTAATATTTTGAAGTAAAATGTAATCGTTAACATAATTATTAGTATCCTAGCAGCCTCACCTGCCAATCACTGCATGTAACTAAGGGTGTTTTCAAATAATCAGTCTCCACTCAACTTGATGGTTATCTCCTCATAAGTTCATGTGTGTTCTTGGCCAAAATGATCAACCTTGTATAACCATCTTCTTTTTTTTTTCTTTCTTTTTTTTTTGCTGTCAGCCCCGATGAATCTTGGCCCTACATTTTTAATGATGATAGTAGTACATAAAATTATTTTGTTTATTTCAAATATGAAACTTACAACACAAAATAATAAGATGCGTAAATAGAACAACCTCCTATCATTATTGTAATTTATCTGGTTTTCTAATTAAGCTATATGTGCCTTAGATAATTTTCTTACGTGGTTGATGTGAACTAGCTATAGCAATAATGAATCTGTAGGATAAAAAAATTCAAACATTGTCATCAGAATGAATTATCCTTAAAGGGAAATATGTAAATTAAATCTTTGTCTTTCCATTGGTTATAAGTAATCCAACAGCAAACATTAGAGAAAATGATTGACATTTTGTAAAAGACAGGATGTAGTAGGTAATTTATGAGGTTGTGTGTAATTTATGTTTATCTGAGGACATCATATAGAGGTCAAAACAATATGAGTCATAAACTATGTTTTGATGCCAAGTATATTGATATACATTGATAATAAAGTTGTTTAATTAAATTTTAAGTGTAACTGTAAGAAAGGTTTTGACTTGCACACTTTCACTACACAAGTTCCTAGGGTTATATTGATATTGATTATGTCCAGGCTGTGACGAAAGAGAGCAAAATTCATCCTGCACCAGCCACTTTCAAATTGACAGTGTTTCTGATTTGTTTGATTCAGGAAGTCACCTCAGTTTTGATAACAGTCACATTGTTTGTAAAATGTGTAAGGCTTGAATCAAATTTGCAGAAAATACAACCATTGTAATTTTTCATTTGAAATGTAATGTCAGATTGACTGTACATCAACATCATCACAGTCAGCTGGTTATGAAGCTTATTTGACCAAAACTGCTCTTCCAATTATTGTTGCAAACATTTCTACAAGCTAAGGGGTTGATAATTGTGTGATTTATATATAAATATATATATTTCCACCTTAACTGTCTGTATCATGGATGACCTCATATTGAGATATGTATCTTATTATGAAGACCCAGCCAATACCTAACTCTAATAAGAATCAATGTGATATTGAGTGTAGAATGAGATTTTTAAGAGTTTGTAACTTATCTGCAGAAGGATAAGCTGATCAATTTAAAAAAATTGTTTTACAGAATGCTTGAGAGCATATTCATTTGCAATAGTTGATGTTTGCTATGCTTGACTCCTTGTCAGTCTTCCACAATTGAATATTTGTAAATGGTTACTGAATTTTAAAGCTTTAAAGTACAAAAATGTTTTTCAAGAATTTTTTTTTTTCCATAACAAGGTAAACAAGTAAAGAAAAACTTTTCAAAAAAGGAAGTAAATGTAGGAATGGTTAATATCAATCCTTCAAAAACAATGCAACAAGATAGTAGGGAGTGTCTATTTAGTCTTCTATCCCTACCATAAAAGACACAGGCACACAGAATAGTTATCAGACAAAAATAAGGGTAAAGTTAAAACTACTATTTGTGATTGAATAGTTATAT